CATCGATGATCGATTGCTTTGGCCTGCCTTTTTTGCTAAACCAGGAAGTATTCCATGCTGTTTATAGTTAAGCTAACGCGGCCTTTAGATGTTCATCCAATAAAGAGTGAAACAAAATTGGCAAAATGCAGAACGGTGCGGAATTTGAGGGAATTTCCGTTCACAATTTCTCTGAAAAGATTCTGGAGCAGGTGGTACACTTTCACGTCATGAAGCTCAGCGGCGGGTTTTTCCTTTGGGTCGGTTCGGCTCCGGTTCTGTCCAACTTAGCAGTGTCTATGAGCAGCAAATATGTAAGTACCGCACAGCACACCTTCATTCACCAAGTACTGGTAAGCTGTTTTCCAGAAATAAAGAATATTGGGTATATTCGTGAAGAATAAGAAACTCGGAATTTAAAAGCGCAGGTCTTCAGGGTTTTTTTTTAGGATTTTCAAAGTTTTTCATAAAGAATATATATACGTTAAAAATTAATAAAATATGAATATTGTAAAACAGCATAATTTTTTAAAAAAAAATCTTATTTTGCTGGGCTTTTTCCTAAATGTATGTTTACAAAATTAATATTTTTTTTGATTAATTTGGCGGTGTTTGTACACATACAAGATTACAAGTGTTTCTCTATTTCCCTGAGTTGTAAAAAAAAAAATTGCCTAGGCCTATAAACAGGTATTAAGTCACTTACATGTTAATTTGGAAAGGGAAGCTAACAGCTTATATGCTTTTGTCTGCAGGATTCAATGCCATTATCTACATTAGTTATGGGGGACCCTTCCAACACAGCACCAAATTCTTTGGCACAAAGATTAGGTAAACACTAGTTTGCAATATGTGTTGTATGTAGGAGATGGCTACGGCAAAGTCTTAAAATGCTCATTTAAGTTGCATGTGCTTCTTAATTGTGGATTTCTATTATATTTTAGAATTGTACCATTGATGTAATTTTGAACCCAGAGTCACTGGCACGCCTTTTTCTCGCATGTGTTTTTTGGTGTCTACTTGACCTTCCTTCCTGAGGGTCAACAGGGAGAATTGAAACTTGAGTAGAGTGATGCTTCAAAGTAGCGTATCTGTGTATGGAGTATTCAGAGTGTGTGTTAGTACAATAACTAGTGTAACCGTGAAACGATAGGTTTGAAATCAAAAGTGATATTGCATTTAGTTACAGAAGCAAGGCAAGTCTCAAATCTCCACAAATTCTATCGTCAAACTTAATTACAGCTGGCTTGGAGAAGTGTTTCACACCTCTGATTTGCTGTGGAGTGTTAAATAAAACACTACATTTAACTTGGTTCAAAACACAGCAGCAAAGAATAGCCATTTATCTTTGTTTTGTGAAAACACTTAGCTAAACTCAGTGTCCACTGTAATTTGACGTCCACACTGGAAGACACTACATGATATCAATGAAACTCAGCAGCTTGCAACAGGTGAAACATTGACAATGTGAAGTGAGTAGGAGGCAACTAACCTATTTCAGTTTTGAGGTGAATGGTTAATGTAACTACCAGTGTGAACAAAGGACTGCTGGTTGACTGTTGACTCAGTGTCAACTGAGTGTTGACTCATTAGCAGTGTACCTACACAACAAGAACCTGGTATGCTAACTAATGTTGTAGTATCTATTCCTGGAAATGTGCAGGGTGATGCAGAGGGCAATTGTGAGGCTGAACATGGACGTCTTTTTACCTGCCAGCTCATGACTGGGTAGATTTGTCTGTGGAGACTCTATTATACAATACGACAACTTTGTTTGTACACATGCCTAATGCAAAGTCTACAGAGATGACTACTCATCTATGGTGTCTTTACCACATAATGTTGCCTTGACAACTAAACAGGAAACATGGGATTTTTTTTTTCTCACCCACAGCCAATTAAATTAAGGAATTGACTGGCTGAGGCACGCTTGTAAAGTCTGCAGGAAGGCAGAACTATAAAATATGTGCATAAAGAGCTCAAATTGTCTGCCAGGGAGTCCTTGTGACAGTGGGACAGTCCTTATAGGCGTGTTGTAGTTTCATATCTAACTGACCAGAAGTCGGGATTCCCGAAAACAATTTTGTGACTATTCAGACTCAATACACATGTTGTTCAGGCAAACTGTAACCAGACCTCAGAGAACAATAACAGGATTGTCTGCAACTGATGATTAAGTCATTGTGGTCTTTGCAGCTATGTGCTAAGTTTATAAGTCTCTATAGACATTAGAGTTGGGCCACTGCTGACCTTAATTTATTTTTACCATTTCGTGTTTTGTGTGAACACAAAGTTAACCAATGTTGTCTCTCTCCATATTTCAGCAAAGAAGACCAAAAAACAAGTATTTGTCAGTTACAGTCTTCCAATGACAGATTCCAGCCTCAGTCTCTTGGTGGAGAACAGGATCAAAAAGGAGCTGGAGCTGCACCCTGAACATTTTTGAGCACATGTGACCCTTTGTAGGAGGAGGGCAGCAGTGTAGTACTGGAGTCATACTCAAATGCAATAATCAGGACAAACGGTCACATCAAGTGTTTTTTTATTGACAATAAATTAAGTAGTTTATTATCAAAACATGTACTATAGGCCTGTGGCTTTGTCTGTTTGTTTGTTTGTTTTTACAAATCCATATTAAAAAAATAACACTTAGAAAACAGCATTAGTGGTTGAGTTTTTTTTCCTTCGGTTTTCTTAGAGTATTTTTTTTACTGTTGAAAACATACAAACTACCAAACCATACTGAATGTCTAAAATATGTGCTGTGTACTAAATATGACTATAAAAATGGAGGATGCTCGGCTTCTGGTATATCTGCACAAAAATGCTTCATGGGATGGTTTGTCTATTCAGTGTGCTTCACAGTCTATAAAAGTAAGGTTATGTTCCATATTTTATAAATGAATGGCACATGTATACATACCTTAGATTTTTATGCAGTCCTAAGGGATACCTATATAATAAAGTGTATAATGTACACCAATCACAACTAAACCAGGTCTATGCAGACTATGCTGCTCTATTCTAATCTTCACACATCTCAAAAAACTGTAAAATAATGTGCTTTCTGTCTAAAGTTACACACTCTAGGAACAGGATTACAGTATTAGCACAGTACAGAGAACGAGGAGTGAGTTTGGAAATGTTTGCTAATTCAGGAGGTATTTCAAGCAACAAAACTTTCCCTTGGCAGCATGACAAAAAATAAATACAGTTTTTTTTTTTCTTTCATTACGTCGTATCTTCTCTGTTTTGTTAACAGAACAGAGCGATAAAGCCATTTAAATTGCTGAGGTGCATCATAAGACATACAGTAGTGCACTAGCAGGTCACTCTCATGTCCGTTCAGCTCTCAGATTTGTTTAACATTATGCACAAAGTCTCTGTAGGCTACACATACGGTCTGCGAGAAAGGTCTCCGGCTGTTCGTCTTCCAACAACCATCATACGCCAGCATCAGCAGTAGTAACGCTTCTTTAAAAATCAGTGTCCACACTGACCTCTCAGCTGAGGATAAAGTGCCACATTGGACTTCATATAAAGAGACCACAAATGAGGAAGTACTTGTAGCACTTCACAATACAGCCCGCAACTTATTGTCCGGTTTCCCAACATTTACCATGTATTATTTAGTGAATTCAAAGTGGATTTTTTGTGTGTTTGTGTGTAAGTCCTTGGAACTGGTTCGGGCATGGGCATCATTAAAGGAGGGGTCAATATGAGTTCTCTTTCTTTTATAGGTGCAGTTCCTGGCACCTTGGTAGTCTCTTGCAAACCAGGCAATAGCTCCAATGTTGCCTACAAATACTTGCTGGTTCTGTAAAATGTTGTTACAGTAGATTAAGGGAGTTTAAAGGAAATGAGAAACAAATTGTACGTTGAACATTTTAATCCTTGAGTACCTTTCAAGTGTTTTAGCAGTAAGGTCGAAATTTTATCTTTATGAAATGACAATTGGGGGTGTTTTAGACTAAAGGCCAAGCGTGTAATACCTAGTATTACACTGGGTATGAGGTATATCAAAGAGTAGCCTAACATCCACTTATTTTTTGATAATGTAGTATTATTGTGGGTATAGGCTATGAGATACAGTATGCTGGCCTCCACTTCTGACACAACAAATACCTAAAAATAACTACAGTGTAATTCATCCGTCTTTGTATCCACTTACAGAAGGGCCTGTCCCAGCTGTCATAGGGCAAGATGCAGGGCACACCCTTGACAGGTCACCAGTTTATCACAGGACTAATACAAAGTAAATGGTAAATAGACTGGTTCTAAAATAGGGCTTCCCTACTTGAGAACATCACTCTTTCATATTCACACAGGGACTTTTTCTCTAGATCTAAGTGCTTTCTATCAAACATTTTTCCATGTTAGGAGCAACTTGGGGTTCAGTATCTTGCCCAAGGATACTTCGGCATGCAGACTGGAGCAGCCAACCACCAACCTTCTCTACAGCCACCAGACAACCATTCATACCTAGAGCCGATTAAATTTGCTGATTAACCTAACCCTATGTGTGTATGTCTTTAGGTTGTGGGAAGAGTTCCCAAAGAGAGCATGCAAATTCCAGTCAGAAAGGTCCCAGACTGGATTTGAGCCTAGATACTTCTTGCTGTGAGGCAACAGTGCTAACCACCCCACAGCCTGTTTAGTTTTTTCCTTTAAAACTGCTAACTGTTGCCCCATAGTTTTACTGTACCTGTTGGTAAATATTGTAAGGTACTGAAAATTACACTGTCAATTGAGAATTACTTGATAAATGCTGGGAAATTGCACAGTGAGTCACATGTTGTATTAACCAATGCTACAGAACAAAACAAAATTTAAAAAAAACAAAACATTTGTGCCCTTTTCATGCAAAAAGATAGTGGCTTTAGCCAATCCCTGGATCTCCAATGTGTTGGCTGCAAATCACAAACACTTGATTGTGTCTCTGACATTTAGTGCAAAATAACTTACCTACAAAGAGATCTAAGATGTAGTGAAATCCAGTTTCAATGAGTCAAAACTACAGACAGTAAACTCACAGAGCACACGTTATTGAAAGTTATTCTGCTGTACTTTGTCTCTCCACTTGTGTCTGCTTGTACCCTCGAGCAGAAGGTGGCTCAAGAAAATCACCAACACCACTGAAGACGCTCATATTATCTGACATACACTGACTTCAATACAATATATTTTTGGCAACTCCTGAAGGAATCATAGTCACTACAAATGACACAAATTTACTATCATCATCATCTGAATCCTCAACATAAAAAGAGTCCATATGAACAATTAGTATCCCTTAAAGTACAGGAAGTTCAGTCATCACTTGCTCAGGTTAGTGCTTGGAGCAGTTATTAGCACAGAAGACAACTTGCAAAGCTGCTCACACTCCATTGGCTATGGCATGATTCCCGATCACCTCCCCACCAGTTGCAAGGGCGTATGAGGCAGGTACCGCTGCCAGAGCGGTGGCTGCTGCCACTGTAGCGCCCCCAGTGGCTGAGAGATGTAATGGTGTGTCGTGAACACGGGAGTAGTCCCTATCACTCTTGGCGAGAAGGAGGTGCTGCTCTCCCGGATGGAGCAGGGTCTGACGGGTAAAGGTCTCTCCATCAGCCAGGCTCTCCGGCAGTGGCTGTCCCCGAGGCTCAGGCAGCAGCAGGAGGCAGATGATGCACAGCAGGGTGCAGCAGGCAAAGATCACATGATGAAGGAAGTAGCCCTTCTGGTTGTGGAGCTCCATGATGGGTGCAGTGAGCATGCCAAAGCCAGCGCTAGCCAGGACCAAGCCCAGTCCTCCACCCCTGCAGAAAGAGAGGTCAGAGCTGATTTATTTCCAAGGTGTTCTGACGCACCTTAAACTAAAAACAGCAGCATTCTATAAGCATTCTTCATACAACAGGATTGGGACATCATTAAAAGTTGACTTCTTATTTTTTGAGATATAAACATGGTCAAATAATGTTAAATGGACTGCTTCTTATAAAGTAGCTTTCTACTACAGGCCTCACTTAGCTTGTCTCATGCAGCACTTTCTTTTTTACTATGCCTAAAGGCTTTCTAACCTCCTAAATTACCTAAATTACTTCCTTAACATGTCTTGAAGGTCTCCAAAGGCCTGGTAATGAACTAATCATTTGATTCAAGTGTGCTGACCCAGTGTGATATCTAAGACCTGCAGGACGCCAGCCCTTCAGGCCTGGAGTTCCCCAACCCTGATGTAAGGAGTCACAGATTGATCCACGACTTTCTAATTGATAGATGACCCAGTCTACTACTCGAGCCACAGTCACCACAATGCAAATAACGAGATCAGCCTACATACATACCCCTTTTTTTCCCTATTTTTGTCTCTGTATTATATTTGCGAAAGTAGAACACATCACCTGTTCATGTCATAAAAACAGCTCTAGTTGTGAGCATAGAAGCCCCACCCACCTGCTGTTTGGACCTTCTGTTTGTAAGGGAAAACCAATCAGAACAATTGGAGGCTGGAGTGAAAGGGAAATGAGCTCAAATGGCTTTTTTTTTAGATGAAGAGGTTGCACCAAAGCCTAATGTAGGATATTTGTGGATTTTCTGACTGGTGAATCATACGGTGCTAAAGTATTAGGAGTACAGAGCTGAAAGTGGGCAGGATACATCCCACTTAAGAGTATTAAAAATGGCATGCTTTATTCAGCCACTTTTATCACTTTCTTAAGCTGACATCGGTCTTCACTCAGCATCTGGTCAGATCTGTTGATCTGAACCTCCTTCATAACCTCTTACAGCCCTTTTCCCATAAAGCCACATTTTCACCGGTTTTCTGTGGCGCCATTGTAATCAATAATGTGGCACACATTTTTCTTTCCAAACACCAAACACTTGTCAGTCATAAACACACCACAAGAGGGAGCAAATATGCAAATTGAGAACAAAAGCTGTGTGCAGACACTGTCATAATAGACAATTTTTTTTTTTTTTAAGTAATAAGACTGTTTGCTTTCATAAGATGTGTGTTGTGTTTATGACTATGCAGGCTCACCTGATGACAGTAGGAGTGATTTCAGCACAAAAGAAAATGCTGAGTGTGCTGACAGCATGAGAAGAGAACATCCCAATTATGGAGAAGGCCACAGAGAATTTCCTGTTAAGAGTGTCTCGCAAAACTGTTCAAAAGAGAGAAAATAAGCAATAAAAATCAGCAACAACAAATGTAACATGATTCCAGGGACATAAATTACATTGTTTACTGTGTATCACTAAGTTATCCTCAAACCAGGGGAAAGGTTTATCATTTTAATTGTTTTAGATGATAAATCTCGTAACTGCAAATGTACCTGTGTCATGGCGAAGGCTGTACTTCCCAATCACTGGATTCCATTAGTGAGCATTGGAGGAAAGAGAGATGTCATTAGTAAGCACGAAGAGCAGCATAGCACTGACTCAAAACAAGCAGAATAAAAGCCTTCAGGAGAACAGTTTACCGCCAAAGCCTGAAATAATGACTACATGCTGCAGATGTAGGTCAAAGAGGAAGAATGAGGGGAAGCTCCTATTAGAATCAAGGTTGAGCTGCAGTTGGTACTGTTTTAATGACTAGGGGAAGGAAACCGACGTGTTTGAGAATTTCAGCAAAAGTCTGGCTAGTATGGCTAAACCTTTTCAGTTACAGTTCTCAACCTAACTGCACGCACAGCATGTCTGACAAGCTTCAAAGTCGTCAAACTGTCAAATAACCAACAGGAGGAGGGCACAACTAATTTCAGGATTAAAGCCGATCCAAAGAGGACATCCAAAGAGTTTCAAGGATATATTCATAGTATTTTCACCAGTAAAAACAAGAGGTGAAAAGTGTAAAGACTGGATTAACAATGTTTCTATTAGTTTTGAGAAGAGAGGCTAAAGTTAGCATGCCTAGCTAATAGTTTGCTACTTATTTGAAATATAGTTTTACTTTGAAGGCAACAGGATAGTATAACATTACAGTCATGGTGTCTGTACAAAGCTGTTAGTATTTTAGACCTTTACACCAAAGTTTTGTTTGAGTCAAACTTTACAGTAACTTTAGTAGCTATAGAAAAATTCTGAGTAATCACTTTTATCCTGTGATAAAACCCTTCTGTCGTGATGGTAGTGGTCTCCCCCAAAAAACATGGCCGTAGATGCATTACAGTGCGTCTATGTAACAAAATGTGATTGTGTAACAAAGGTGATTGTGGTTTGGAGCTATATAAATAAAGTTGATTTGAATGGTCTACTTGTGCATTTTTTTATTACTCACAGTTAAGCAAACCCAGCTGCAGCAGTGATGCCAGGGCTGTTATGATCATGAATGTGAGCAGCCCTCCACGCCGACCCATCAGCCCGACCGCAGGGCATAGTGCTAGACAGGTTGCCACGGCGATGCCAGCCATGGTGTAATAGTCAGCATGGCACAAAGCCGTGGGCTGAGCCTCGGGGTCCATCATACTGCGAGCGAAGCAGTGGTGAATTCCATAACCTGTCAGACTGTACATCAAGACAAAACCACAGAATAAGAGAGTGGCCAATGAGGTGCCACCTAAAACATGCGTCCGCCACAGGGCACGTGAGGTTTGAGTATGTCTTCATTCTCTGGAGACCAGCTCATGTGTAATTCATGCTCTCAACACAACGGATGTTGGCTGTTATTAGCAAAGGAACTGTACAAGCCGGGACGACAAACGCAACACACTTACGAGTTGACACACAGCACCACAATGTTTTTCCACAGGTTCCTGGTGCTCATCATCTTGACAATGCAGCTCCTCTGGGGTTTCTTGTGCAGCTCCTGCTCCAGCTCTGGTAGGAAACATGAAACGCACACCTTGAGACCTTTCCTTTTCAGGTGGTAATGAGCACCCGGCCATAAGGGATCTCTAGCACGGAGAAGCTAAAGAGCTTTGGGGGGGCTTTAGATAGATGTAGGACATCCCTGTGCCCACTCTCATCATCCCTCTGACTGCTTGGCTACTGGGAGAAGCAGCGACAATGAATCAAACACAAACTCGGGGGAACAAGAAGTGTCGTGGCAGATAAAGGTGAGACACGTTAAATCTGTCGCAAGACAATTAATAGCCAGGGATCTCATTTATAAACACGGCACATGCCGAAAATGAAGTCTGAAAAAGGCCTGTGCAACTTCCCACGCACAAGTTGGGAGTTTTCAAAGGCAATCTTGACGGGAGAATGTGCACACTGGTACAGAGAGTCCGACCCACGCTTATGAACATTTTGGAGACAGACAGAAATTAGCAATGCACATTGTGAGGTGCTAAATTAAAGGCATGATGTAAAAACCAATACATAATACTTCCTCATACGTTAAGTATGATTTCCTATAATGTAGGACTTATGGATCTACTTTATCATAAATATTGAAATGCCAGTGAGCCATGGCAGCACTGAGATGAGCAGAATCAAATATTTCTCCAACTCAACATCATATTTTTCATCATCCATTACACTAAATATCATCACAAGTTATTATAAAGTGGGCCAAGTTCACCACAGCAAAACAGCTTTTTGAGGGCAGAGTAGAAGACTGACTGAAGTGCACACATTTCTACACTGACTGTGATTTATAAAGGGAAGCTTCTGAGCTGGTGAGCATAGGCATGCTCTATAATTATTATTGTTATTTTTTGTCCACACCATCTCAGCTTCTCTGCTCAGGTATAGTATGGATCCTACACATTCTTTTTAAATGAGACCCCAGGTGCTTTGTACTCAACTGAGATTTACAGGATAATAATGTTGTTGTTAATTGACAGTGCACATGCTCTCAGCACTATTTGGAAGTCAGACTTTGTGTATACTATATATAAAAAACCATTAACAACCTAAAGGACTATGGATCTTCACCTTATTGCGTTTGCATTTCATCATATCAATGGTCTGAGCAGTTTTATATGCATGTCAGTGTCTTTGTATTCGTTGCTTGCTCATTTCATCACACCGAGCAGCAGCTGTAATGTAACATGCTGTAGACAATTTTAAATATATTGCAAAGAAAGAGAAATGAAGGAAACCAACAGAAAGAATAGAATTCGTGGCCCAGTGTATGTGGGATCTTTCATCTTCTCGCTCCCTCTTGAATTCATCCTCACCTGTAAGAACTCCGCTTGGCTCAGTTGTCATGTCAACTTGGTTCTTCCTGGCGATCCGCAGCATCATGGCTTTGGACCGCCGGTAATGCTGGGTGGCCAGCAACCAGCGCAGGGATTCAGGAAAAATCCTGTAGAGGGAGTGAAAGAGGGGAATGGCGAGGAGAAGCAGACAAAGGATGAGCAGAAGATTTGTAAACGCAAGAAAGAAACAAGTGAGGGGCAGAAGAAAACAAGAGGAGAAAGAGACCATTGTTTGTAAAATCAGAGCGAGCTTGTGTGGTGCCGTGTGTACTGTACAAGCCATCGCCTGGCTCAGAGCTTTTCTTCAGAGGGCGCGACTCACCAGACGTACGGCAGCATCAGAACGAAAGGACTGATTATGACAATCTGCAGGACCTGCCAGTCATCCCGGTTTGGCCAATGGCGACACAGAGCGGCCACACCTGGCATCAATAGCTGCCCGCCCACCATAAGAAAACTGGCCACCATAGTCATGGAGAAACGCCAACCTGGCAAACACAGCTCAATCCCTAAAATAAAAAGACAAGCACGAGAACAAAAAGACTTCATTTTACAGAAAACATGGCTTCCTGTGGTGTCAGTGCACCACGAGAGGCGAGTAAATTATGTATGCGCTCCGTGTGTTTGGATGTGATTACCATTATAAACTTGCAGCTGTCTTAATGGCCTGAAAGAGCATGTGTTTGTTTAATGGTGAGGTAGGCACTGAATTTCCTGTCATGAATTATTGAACACTTATTGCTGATCCTTCCCCTGAGAGCGCACTAGTTTAACACCAGGCCTCTTCATTAAGTTAGGATGGACTGCATGTGGAAGCATGTGAGTGAGTTCAGCTGCTCGGTGAGCTTTTCGCTGGAACCGTCTTTTAAGTCCTTCCCACGTGACTGGGCTCCTATCCTTTCCCCTACTGCCTGTAACATGGAACAGTCCAGATGGCCTGGCCCATATGGCAAGGGCCTTTTGAAGGTGACCATTGTTGGTGGATGAGAAGAGAGGAAGGGGGGGATACTCACTATACTCACTAACCTGTACTGTCACTTGTTATTGTGAGGCAGAGAGAGAAAGCTGGGCTGGGGGGTTGACAGAGTAAAGAAAGTAGAGTAGGGACTGAATACAAATTACCTAACCCTTCAAAAGTCCCTCCATTCATCAGTGGAATCACCAGAGGAATGATAATAAAGACTGGTGTGAGAGAGAGAGAGAGAGAGAGTGAGAGAGAGAGAGAGAGAGAGAGAGAGAGAGAGAGAGAGAGAGAGAGAGGAAATACAGAGAAAAACACAATGAGGAAGAAGGAGGCGGGATGGAAAGATGACTAAGATTTTCAGATAAAAGAATGAAAGGAAAATGATTCAGCTAGAGGTTAAAGGTATTACTGAAATTCCCTTGAACTGTTTTTCTTCCTTAGACCTGAGTCAAAAATCTTCCCACAAAAGGACCAAGACAGATGAAGGAAACTGCACTGACCCATGATCCTTAACCTGGCCGTCTGCTTCTACTTTTTCTAGCCAAAAAGACAGTGTGAGCCTGTCTCTGGCCCAGTGATGGGAGCAGTATACAGCTTTTCACTATTTTTTAACGTAGTGGTCTAAAAATATAGCATTAAATGTAAATTATCAAATCCAAATGTTTCCAATGTAACATAATAATAATAATAACTTTGTCTCAAATCACAAAAAGGAAACTGAGAAGTCAAACCACGAGCCAGCATTGACCCAGGATGTGAATGTGATGGATGCTTAGTTACACTTCTGCTGATCGGCTTTATTTTCATATCGGTTTCTTGTCCTGTGTGTTTAGTAACCACACGCTGTTCCCAGATCTCGGTCAGTCTGTACAATTAAAACTGCACAAATCAATAATTTACTCAACAGCAGATCGAACGACTGAGTCTAATGTGAAAGAGGTCGCTAATGGTGACAAACAGACTGAGAAAATCACCCAACTCTGCTTTTTATATCCACCCTGCTGAGCAATTTAGCATTGTTTATCCCAGAAAACTCAACCCTGTATAAGGCAGCAACAGGTGGCCATTATTAAGCTTCAGTTAAGCTCTGTGCACTTCATAGGAAACAAGACCAAATGACAAGGATGATGCAGCTAAAAATACAAGTCGCTGACTTTAAATAAACAAGCTTTGTTTCAGCAGGATATGTATACAATTTCAATTTCAATTTCAATTTTATTTATATAGCGCCAAATCACAACAAA